CCTACAAAGCAGCCCTCCATAAAAGTCCTGATTGTTTAGAGATGGTAATTATGGATACCTTCCCAACTGCGTATGGGGAAGGTAAGCATCATGATCCTTATGATGCCTCCAGCTTGACCCCTGGCTCGTGGAAGTCTGTTCATTAATATCTGCAGATTCATTGTGTGTGAGGAAAGAAGCTAAGCTTCCCACAAAGCCATTTTTCTTTGCGATAGCTTTTTTAGCCGAGGAAGAGAAGAGCCAAATGACACAGCACATCAGTACTACTCTTAGCAAAGCTGCAAGCAGTCTGACATGTCTTGGAGAGAGACGTAGCATGCAGGGATCGAATGTGGGAGGTTTATTGTGCTGAGCAGGGCTGGAACTAGTGCTACAGTTATTACAGCTGTACAAGTATCGCAGCCTTTAACTATTACATAGCTTAGGAAGAGAGAGCTGTGGGGGAATAAAACAAGGTCATGTGCTGAAGGTGGGATTGTGGTTTGGAGCCTTGGAGAGACTTTGTTTTGGTGTAAATCCTGACTCATCCTGGTCCTTTCCTCTCCTACTGTAGGCATGAGCACTGTCCCAGAAGTAATTGTAGCCAGGCATTGCGGCCTCCGAGTCCTTGGGATCTCCCTCATCACCAACAAAGTGGTAATGAGCTACAACAGTCAAGAGAAAGCCAACCATGAGGAAGTGCTGCGCGTCTCGGTGGTCCGGGCTGAAGCCCTGCAGAAACTGGTCACGCACATCCTTGGCAAACTGGGGGAAAGCGCAAACTCTCCGTGACCTCCAGGCGTTTATCATTCGTAACATAATGTGTAAACACTACCAAGTGCTGGGGGAGAGCTGTCAGTGAGACTGTCCCCTTCTGCTCTCCTGATTTTGAATAGACTTTTTGATCTTTGTCCCTGTGCTTTAGCTGGTTGGGTGCTGAGGTTTGCTTTGAATTTTGCCAGAATGATCCCCTTTTTAGAAGCCAGTGACCAGAATGGCTTTTGCTTTCTCTCTCTGGCTCTTCTCTCCCAAGACAGAGATCAGTTTGACCTAGTATTTCACGCCAGCTTTGCTCTGCTGCAGTCCCTGCAGCAGATGTTGGAGCACTAATGGTTTGTGGAGTTTAGTGATGTGAAATTACAGTGGAAACTACTTTGGAACAGGTATGATATTTTTCTGAATTTCCTGGTTGTCTTACATGAAGAAACTGAGCCTAGCAGTGAATAAAGGACGAACAGGAGAGGCCACCATGCTTTCTTTTACCAGCATGCTGATGGTCTACCAAGGAAGGGTGACTATTCACCAGAACAGTGCATTATTCATTGTTCCCCAAAGGTCAGGCTGAGCCGTGGGTGCAGCTGGATGTGAAACAGTTGCAGTAATTATTAGGTAACCTTTTTCCCTTCATTTTTCTTGGAGTTCTCTATAAAACCTGTCACTGTCATAGCTAAATGGTGGTCTGAACTGAAGACACCCAACTGGTTCTGGAGAGCTCCCAGTCTGCCTTCCTAAATTTAGCTGCTGAGTTGTTTATCACTGATGCTTGCCCTCTGTTGCAGCCTTCAGCCTTCCATGACACCTCTTCAGCTCCAGGCACAAAAGGACATTGTGGCCTGGTGAGGTTTTTTCCAGATGGGCATCTGCTTGAAGCCCTTCATGCTGCAATTACTGGTGTCAACTGCTCTATTAATGGTGCAGATGTTGCCACCAGGAGGAACAGAGTTGTGCTGTGCATGTTTACCTTGAAAAGGTAGCACTTCAGGTGTAGGAGAGATCTTGAGGTGGCCACCCTGTCCCCTTCTCTTCTCCTGGGCAGGATTACCTGTTGTCAGTCCTGACAAATATCTGCCCAGCCTTATCTTGAGGACTTCTGGCGGGGGAGGATTCGTTGCCTGTGCTCTGCTGACCAAGTCACTTGTTCAGCAACTCCTGGCACATGGAGGAGCCCTCTGAAGACAGCAGCTCTTTCCATTTGGTGGGTCTAACTGTCAAGACAGTCTCAGGGACCAGTTCTGGTAGCAATATACAAAGGGAAAGACTCCAGCTCCTTCTTCCACAAGGCTGTTGCCTTTTCAGATGTAGCAGGAGTGAAGTGCTCATCAATGGTGGCAGCAAAAGCAGTGAAATATGAAAAGTGGCAGATGTGCAGAGCAAGAAGGAACCACTTCTACCTGCTCCCTTTTCAGACTTGTCCCAGGATGGGCTTGTTACAGGGCACAGGGAGTGAGAGAGCAGATAATTTCCCCTGCGTAGGAAATGGTGCTTCACATTCATCTAATTAATACTTGGTAAATACAAAGTCTCTCAAGTGAGTGGAAGACAGCTGTGTAGCTAGCTGTAGCTAGAGAGCAGGCAGAGTAGCTAAGGCTGGGAGCTCAGCAGACACCATTAATTAATCAGTCAGGCTGGATGGCAATGTGAAAGGAACCATCTGACAAACCTGCTGTTGTGCTGGTACTTCTTCAGCCAGGCTTGAGAGGATGAGGAGCTTGGCACCTGCTTTCTGTGGGCTGGGTCTGCTCCTCTCTCCAGCTGTACAGGAGGCGGAGTGTGAAACCTCTATTCAGATAGAAGTGCATGGTACAACTTAAGTAAAACTTAAAATTTTATCTGAAAATCACCATGCAACTAAATCTTTTTAAAAATATTTTTCTAAATAGCATTTGAACCTTTAAACAGCTGGGGGCTCTTCTTTCTGCTGTCCAAGGTTGACTTGGATGGCTCAAACTCTGCATGAACATGCCTGATTTTTGTCCCTGTAAATGATGAGATGGAAGATGCCCTGGGCACTTTGGAAGGCATCTTGCTCATGCTTTGAGGGAGAGAGGGGGGAATACAATTAATGAGTGTGTTCATCTGGTTTTGAAGATACTTTTAATCCAATTTTGTTGACACTTTTTTTTCACTGCTGCTGAGTTTCAAAAGGCTGAAATACAATGATGCAAGGGGAGGGGAGGATCTGTGGGAAAGAAACTGGGAGGAAATAAAACCTGCTGTGATCCTGGAAACAGTGGTTTTGTTTGCTGGGCCAATACCAGGGGTTAGAAAGGAAGGAGTTGCTTGGCAGTACCCCCTGCATCCAACCTTCCCAGGCTGGAGGACAGCCCTGAGCGCCCAGAGCTCAGGATAATCAGGACCAACATTTGACCAGCGCTTCGCACAGGTATTTCTTTCTGATCCCATGGGGTTGAGGAACTCTTGGGGGGAGAAAAAAAAACAAACACAAGAACCAAAAGACCTCAACTAACTTCTGGGCTGTGGTGGTGTCAGTGCAGCGTCTGTGCTGGAGGCAGGACATGGTTTCCTTGGTGCTGTGTTTTTTATTTAGTGCTTTCTGGCAATATCCGTGGCTGAAATGAGTAGATAGTAAGACAACCTTGGCTTGCTTTCATTCCTGTACTCTGTGCCACTTATCTCTTTCTGAACTTCAGGCTGTTATGGCCATAGGGATAAGCTGGAAGATGCATGAAAAGCTAAAAAAAAAAAAAAAGAGACCTGGCAAGTGGAAAAAGAACCCCAAATTACATGACTGATTCTGGCTTTTTCAGTGCTGTGGTTAGCAATGAGTTTGGGTGCTGCCACCCACATAGGCTGTCCCATGCTGCCGTACCCATGGCAGGGGGACCCATGGAAGACCTGTGTTAGTGCGGGGCGGAGCTGGCACAGCTCCTCCTTTCCTCAGCCATGATTTCGTGAGCCAATCTGGCCCACCCTTTGTGCCAGCCCTTTCCTTTGCCTTGCTCATCGGTTCAGAGAAAACTTTCCAGGTCATGAGGTCCTGCTGCTTCCAGTCCCCCTGGAGAAGACAGAGATGTTATATTGATGCCTTCATGTGTGATTCACAAAAAAAGTGTGATGTCAAGATGAGAAATTTCTGATACCACCCTTGGCTGGACCATGTAATGAGTTTTTAAGTAGCGATCTCTGCTGTTATCTGAGAAACAACCCTGCAACCTCCCCTAAAAAAAAGTCTGATTGTTTGATCCATCCCATTTCCTTTGCAAGGCTCGGTTTCCCAGACTCTGTCTTCTACTTGAAATTTGCTGTTTGCACTCTTTTCTACATGAAAGTAAACCAGACAGCTTTTAAAATGATGTGCTGTCTGTCTCAGCTCAGCAGCTGAACATATGCTTTGCCTTCAAGTTATCAAAATTCCCTTAGACATTTCTTTGTACTGAAAACCTGCAGTTGAATTAAGGGGTTTCTGCTATGATGGTGGTGGTTTGTCTTGTTGGTTTATTGTTTTGGTTTTTTGTGGTTGTTATTTTTTCACAGAAGCTTTAGGTCTTCGCTGCAAGGATTTCATATGCTGGAAAGAATTAATCTCTTCCCTGCCACGCTGAATATGCGGAGCAAGGGGGAGCAATGCAGTGCGGGCCATGGCAGTGAGCTGATCTCAGTTTGTTCCTGAATTAAAGCCTGACTCTGTAAGCAACGTGATGGTCTGTTATTTCCTAAATCTGATGGCACTTTCAGATAGGAGTTGGTTTAAGAGTTGGGATGTGGGTGAAGACTGGAGGGAAATATCCAGCCTTTTCTCCTGCGGAGGGGACATCCCCTCCTGCCACCAGCTCTGCCTGGCCACCCATGCTGGGAGATGGCTTTAAACAGAAGAACAACCACCCCTTGCTTTCCTTGCCCGAAGCTCCACAGCCCTCTCTAAAACTCTTTCTGAATCTTGGTGAACGCTTCCTGCAGTGATGACCCCTTCTCGCCCCACCGGGTGCTTCGCAGAGGCAGCTCAAGGAAGCCTTTCCCTAGAGATGCCAGGGAGAGGGTTCAGGGCTCTGCTGGAGCCCAAATTTTGCTCCCAGGTGCCAACTTGGAGCAGCCTTGGGTCTTCATCAGCTGAAAGCTGGGTGTCCTGGAGCAGCGTGGCTGGGCTGTTGACCCAGCACCACCCCTGCTGTGGGCCGGGGCTCTGCTCCCCACAGAGCAGATGATGGACCAGTGCTGGGGACCTGATGCATCCCTGTGGCCCTTCTGTCCCCAGCCTGGGCACATCTGGGGACATATCCCTAAACCCAGCCCTGTGAAGGCAGCGAGTGTCTGCTCTCAGCCCCCAGGAAACCTTTGCTCTGGAGAGAGGGGATTAGGAAAGCAATGGGCTCTGCTGGAGGAAATTGTGCTCCAATAATGGGAAAAGGAAACTTTTTGGGACTTGTCTCTGTGTCAAACCCTGGGAAATGGGAACTAAATCCCTGGGACACCCTTCGGTGTCTCTGCGTGTGCTTGAAGACTGTGTTACGCTGCGGGGAGAATGCTGTCCCACTGCTCTGTGTCCCAGCATGGTCCTTCTCGTGAGATCCCGGTGCAACATCTCCCTTCCCATGCCTGGAGTCTGGCATCCTGCCCTGCGCTGCCCCAGCTCCCCACGGAGTTAAAGCTGGGCTTGGGGCCATCTCCCGGTCCTCAAGCCTGCTCTCAAAAGGGGCTGTGGGCTCTGCGATTTGGGGGGGACACCTCACACCCCCTTTTCTCCCGGCTGAGAGACAAAAATAAGAGGTACCAGCACCCGGCAGGATAGGCAGTCCCCCAATACCTCCCTGCGGCTGCCTGCTGCCGATTACATCCCTGCTCTGTGCACATCTGAACTTTCCTGCCTTCTTCTCATCTTTAATTAAGCACTTCTATCGGCCGAGCCTTCTCGCTGGATTGGAATGATTTTTTTTTTCCCCTGTAGCCATGGCAACGCTTCCCCTGGGCAGGCTGTGCTGGAGCCAGTGCCAAACCCCACGTGTGGCTGTTTGTTTGGGCCTGGAAATTTCCCTGCCGTTTGGGAAAACTTGGGA